CTTTTTGTTTGTCAACAATAATATTACTCAATGATAAATGCATACCTTTATAATACTTAAATAAAATAGATAAGACAACTTTCCATGATGCAAGAAATTATGACATTACATATAACTAACTATTAACTAGAGTATGTTACACATTACATTTACCGTCATATGTAATAATACACACACACACATCACACTGTATAGTTCTTACACAGAAGCAGACCTCACATTATGTTTAAAACTTAGCCACATAACAGCATTCTCACAATGCCCCAAAGGATCAACGAACTCCACGAAGCGAAAGGAAGATCTACTAGATATTAATTAAATTATAAATACATCAATTCATGTGAATATGACTGAAAAATTTCATTTTTTCTGAAAAGGTGGTGTCTATTTACTTGTGACCATGCTGTGTACACAATAAAACAAGTTAAAAATTCAGCTAAGCTCAAAAATGTTTCCTATGGGAATAAAGTTTGAATTGGAAGCAAAACAGACAATTCTCTGTACAGAAAATAACATAACATAATATTTCATTTGATATTTTAAAACTTTGGCTTTCTATTGGATATAAATAATATAGTATTAAATTTCAGAGAGAACTATTGACAATTTCTTCAAGTTAAGATGTGATAGTTGGGTGTGGCAAGTAGGTCTGATTTTCTAGTTTAGCTCCACAAACAAATGAGATTGAAGACTAAGAGTTATGCTTTGCCTGAGTAATGGTTATATTATAATGAGTAATATATATTAAATTCTGTACTTCTCAGAGAGATGGTAAATAAATTAAAGAGGGAAGAGCTAAAGTGCAAATGTGACAATTCCCATACTAAGGGAGATTGAGAATTTCTTTTAAATATTTCCTTATAAAATAAAAAAAACTTAAAGCTTATATTAATATTAAAATTTAATTTATTACCTATGTTTTGATGCCAAGTTACTTGTATATCATAATAATAAAGTATTTTAATTAAATTTTGAAAGTAACAAGTCATAACATGCACACTTTGGCCTGCCTGTAGCAGGAGGGTTAAGAGCATTTAAGGGAAAGCTTGATACATACATGAATGATAAAGGTTGGCTCTGAGTTTTTTTAGTGTTTATTTTAATTTAGTGGATAGGACAACCTAGATGGACCGAAAGATCTCTTTTTGTCCTTTAATGTTACTTATAAAATTACACATTTTCTATGATTTGTTCAAATATTAATAAACAATACTTTATTAAGTAAGCCTTAAGGGAACAAAAAAGGAGCTAGGGATGAAGAAAATTACTTACCTTATTACTTGGATCATTTAAAATCAGCTTCAAGCTTCCAATAACCCCTGCCATGTATTCACTAAGAAGAATATCTACAATAAAAATCACACAATCAACTCTAACAATCAGCTAGACCCACATTCTAAACACATTGTTACTTGACATAAAAATTTGTTTATTCTTCACTTAAGTTGTAGAAATATCAATGACTTTTAGTAGTGTGTTCAATGTGTGGACTGAGTATGCTATGTATTCAGCATGGAGTCCAAAACCTCATCCCAACATTAACAAAAATGGTAGAAAAAGTCCATATTAAACTCAGTCCACAACTACCATCTTTTGGGTATAAGAAAGTGGCTATATTCAAGCATGAGTAAAAAAAATACAGAATCAGTTAAAAATCCCTACTTCAGAATACTATTAAACAAAAAACCATCAAATGATCCTTACTTCAGCACACTATTAAACACAAAATCAGTTAAACAATCCTTACTTCAGAACACTACTAAGCCTAAATTAACTAAGCCTAAGGATATAACTAAACACAAAATACTTTAAACAGTCCTTGCTTTGAGAAACTATTAAACACACAATCAGTTAAACACTGCTTGCTTCACTTGCTTCAGACTACTTCTAAATGAAATCAGTTAAACTATCTTTACTTCAGGATACTCTTAAACCCAAAATCAGGTAAACAATCTTTGCATCAGAATACTACTAAACACAAAATCAGTTAAACACTCTTTGTTTCAGAATACTACTAAACACAAAATCAGTTAAACACTCTTTGTTTCAGAATACTACTAAACCCAAATTATACAATACTTGCTTTAGGATACTCCTAAACCCAAAACCAGTTAATAAAAAATAATCAGTCCATGCTTCAGCATACTAACTAAACAAAACCAGTTAGTCAATCTTTAGTTTAAGATATATGAAATTAGTAAAACAATCATTTGTTCAAGATACTACTGAACCTAAATTTGATTAAACAATAAAAGTACAATCCTTGCTTCAGGATACTACTAAATATAAAAATGGCTAAACATCCCAGGCTTTAGAGTACTTCTAATGTAAAAGTAGTTACATAGCCAGTGCTTCATGCTATAACTAAACCCCAAATTAAATAGTCTATACTTGAGATTACTTCATAACTTAAACAGTCCCTGCTTGAGGCTTCTTCTAATCCCATAATTATACTCCTCCACTAGGATAGTTCATAAGTCCTTGTTTGAAACTCATACCAAGAACCAACACAACTGTATAAAAAAAACTAAAGCCCAAGTCTTTACTTGTAGCTATTTATGAAGCTATGTTAGGCTTACTTGACTTTTCTCTCTAGTCCTTTAATACAAAAGTCTCAATTTAAAAATTAATCCATTCTTGATGCTATGTGGAAAACTGAAATTAAGTTCCAACAAAATCTATTGAAAACAGAATGTATTAAAAACTACAACTGTTATATTCAGTTCTTTGCAACAGGAAACTGCACAATAAAAAATTCAAAGAAATAAGTAACTTACCACAGGAGTTAATCAAGTGTTTTAGAATACTCAAAGCACCAATCCTAACACGTTCATTATTGTTGTCGACTCGCTGTAACAAAAAGCTGACAATACGTTCGCTGTAAGCAGGCACTGTGAATGTATACAATATTGAGAATGTAAAAAACAGTTTACTGTTACTGTAATCTAAAGGCAAAGATATTACAGATTTGAGGAAAAACAAGACAATTGTACATTTCACAAATACATCATTTATTCACGACCATGGTTTCACCAGTAAAGGCATATTTGTAAAACATACAATTGTCTTGTTTTTCCTCAATTTCATCACTGACTGTTTCAAGTATCCATTATGCAAAGATATTAGTCAAAATGTATTACAATCAAACATTAACAAGACAAAGAAAAACTAGTGAATGAATTTATAACAAAATACTTCTTTCAATTTACTATAGATGGGAACATTACTGTAAAAGTAGTATAAGAACATCAGTGTGAATGTAGTGTATGGAACATCACTGGTGATGTAGTGTACAGATTATTACTATAAATGTAGTGAAGGAAAGAACATTACTGTGGTTGTGCTTTACAAAATAACATTATATGTACTATACACACACCTACAAGTATATTAATATGGATGTACCAAACTACTTTGGATGTACAGTACATAACATTACTGCAAATGTACCACAGAAATTAACATTACCATGGATGCACTAGAGAAAAATTTACAGTGAGTGTACAGTAAAAAAGAACATTATTGTGGATATACCATATAGGAGAGTGTTACTGCTGGTGTACTAAAGAGGAGAACATTGAAGTGGACATACTGTAAATGAGAATATTACTGCAAATGTACCATAGAGAACATTAAAATGAATGTACAGTAGAGGAGGATGTTACAATGAGTATACTGTACAGCAGAAACTTTCAGTTAATTTACAGTAGAGAAAACATTACTGTGGATGTATTGTAGAACAGAAAATCACAGTTAACCTTTTAAGCACAAATGTGGCTCTTCTGTACATGTCACAAAGTTTTTAAAGTGTCAATTGTATGTCAATTAAATTAGCATCACAGTATAGATTATAATTCAAATTTTTATTGAAAAATCTGATGTTTGGTGTACAACAGCCTTGTAATGCTTACTAAAACCTTGCCAAATTTCAGGAAGCTATACTTAGTAAATTCAGAGTTATAGCATATACAATTCCATGGTTAAGTAGTGGGTACAGATTGGTCAAAATGACAAAGTCTATACTTAAAGTGTTAAGGTGCTTTGGAGAAAACATTACTGTGGATGTATTGTATAAAAAAACATTACTTTGGATGCACTGTACAGCAGAAAAATACAGTTAATATGCTATAAAGAATATATTACTGTGGATGTACTGTATAAGAGAACAATACTGTGGATGTACTGTATAAGAGAACATTACTGTGGATGTACTGTATAAGAGAACATTACAGAGAATGTACTGTATAGGAGAACATTACTGAGAATGTACTGTATAGGAGAACATTACTGAGAATGTACTGTATAGGAGAACAATTCTGTGGATGTACTGTAGATGAGAACATTACTGAGGATGTACTGTATAGGAGAACATTACTGAGGATGTACTGTAGATGAGAACATTACTGAGGATGTACTGTAGATGAGAACATTACTGTGGATGTACTGTATAGGAGAACAATACTGTGGATGTACTGTATAGGAGAACATTACTGAGGATGTACTGTATAGGAGAACATTACTGTAAATGTAAAGTAGATCACTAGTGCAAACTTACTGTTGATCAAAAATTAATAAAACATATTGAACCTAGTTCATTAATGAATGAGCCCTTATCTAACCATTTTAAATAGTCCCCTTAGCTCACTTGAAGAAATGAAAAATGTAAATCCTACTTGTAAAAATATATTGTTGATGTACAAAGAGAGTTACTTTTTTTTTGCTAATTATCTTAATAATAAAATATTAGATATTGGAGGTGGAATTTGAGTTTGAAGACTTTTTAAGAATATAAACATAAAATGAAGCAACAAATGTTTTACACAATCCTTTTATCCATAGAACAAGTTTTACTATATTTAAATATCACAATTCTTTCACTTCAAAATGTCACCAAATACAAATCACACAGCATATTTATGATTTTTTTAAAACCACTTATATTCTAATGCAGTAGTTTTCAAACTATACAAAGCAATGGAACCCTCTTATTTCATTCCTTCCATCACAGAACCCTAACCCTTAACCCAAGCTTAAAGCCTAGTCTAGATGAAAATGACCAAGTTCATAATAGTATTGTTAAATTAAAACTATATGAAATTACAAAAATATTTTATTGGATATCAATTAATTCGTGATTTAAAAAACATCAAAACACATTTGGGACTTCAAGGGTTAATACTCAAATTGAGAAAAAAAAAATTGTCATTACCTGTTACTTTTGGGGGGTTCTGGGGTTCCAAGGAACACAGTTTGGAAACCACTGTTCTAATGTCAAGCACCATTTTGAAAACAAATTATACAGATGTGTTGCATAGAAAATTTGTCAAAAAGCTTGCACCGTTTCACTAACATATCAAGAAGTGAAATGTTCAGTGCATTTAATCCATTTTATTGCTACGAAAACTTCAAGGAGTAATAAACTAGTTCTTTTCTTATGACAATCTCCTATCCAAATGTGTAATAGTCAATTGATGAGCAAAGCACATTTGTTGAATGAAGGAAACATTAAAAACTTGAAATTTTTTATAATGTATATAAATCATACTCTGTTGTTTACACAGCCTTAAAAAGCTAATACTTTTGTACTTTAAATATTGATGTTTTCTACTTTTTAACTATTTCTTTAACATATATATTGACAGAACCACTACATAGAATTATTAGATGAGGCAAAGGTTTCAAGCAATAGTTTTGTCCATGTTTACTAAAATAAGCAATTTTGTATCCTAACTATAGTCAAGTATTATTTATCAAAATTCTCAGCTCTGGTCCAATAGTAATTCAACTAGCAAAAACATTAATTCTTTAAGCCCTTCATTTGCAAAAAAGTAAAATTATTTTTTATTCTATATAAAACCAGAGTAAGTTTTCTGTGCTTTGACAAGATGCTATTTGAAAATGACCACCTCATGGATATTTTGTTGAATGGTATATTTCTGTGTTTAAGGGAAACTAGTAAGCCCCTTTTAATAATTAAGCTTCACAACATAATTTTTATCTATGTTTTTAACTTCATTTAAAAAACATGCTTACTGAGAACAGCGAAACATCGAAGAACTTCATTGTGGTTTTTCACTCCAGAAGGCTGGCTGTAATCTGGGAGACTACAAACCTGAAACAAGTAATTTGGATTAGTTTTAAATTCAGTCTATTTCTCATTACAAACTTTTTCTTTTTTTACTAAGTTTGGAAATACAAAGAAAGGGCTAAAATTATGTGGTCAAGACTTCAGCCAAAGAACTAAAAGGTTCTCATATTCAAAATATAAAGGTTAGAAATCATGAACAAGAAATTGATGTGTGTTGACAGCAAATATCTTATTATCATTTCTGGATAATGAGAATGTAGTTAAACAATTTGCATGATGCAAGCAAGAAAAATCCTTAGCTGAATTGTTATTGGACTGTGTGATACACTTGCTCATATCCAGCATAGAAATACACACAAATTGTTTACGAAATTATTAATACCATTCATTTCAGTCACACAATAAAGGGTAGATTAACTGATAATAGAATGTTAGAATGAATAAAATCCTAGATTACTACTGATATTGAGCACTAAAAGTATGATTAACCAAATTGACATAAGATTACACATTTGAAAGGTGAAAACGTCATCCAATTCCTCTCAGACTGGTGCCACCCAGTGATCATAAGGCTAACTTTGTGAAAATTTTGATTAGCACTGTACATCCTCTTTTGTACATGAGAGTTAACTTAGTTAAGTACAGTTATTTTATATGTTTAATTAGATTGCAGAGTTTTAAATCTTGTGATACAAGAGATTAAATAACTTTTTAATTTTTTGTTTGAATTAACTTACACATATATCATTTATACTAATTAAAGATATTTTAATGTTTTTAAACTATGATTTAAAGTTCAGGCTTTCTTTCTGACAAACTTCCCAGTGGTGACTGACCTGTGTGCTTGCAACTAACTGTATATTCCTGGTATCTAATAAATGGATAATATTTGAAAGAATATTTAAATAATTGACAGTATTGCTTTACACAATCTTCATCCGAGCTTATTAACTTCAAACCATGCTTTTTTGTGTTACACAAGAAAGTTATGATCTGCAAGGACACTTACCAGAATAAGAAGACACATCCAAAACCATCTTAAAAAACAAATCTTTAAAAACATTATCTGCATTTTTATTTTTTCTGTTTATCTGAATTAGTTCCTAATCATAATATCTATCGTTCTTTCATCTTAACTAGTTTGCTTAAGATGTGGTTTTAGTCTGTTAGTTATATAACTTTCCAAAAGAGAATGTAACAAACACAGTTTTTAAAAAATATTTTAACTTACACACATATACACACTATTTTATGTAGAATTACTTACTAACCTGAGGAAAAAGCACATTCAAAACATTGTCAAGTTGCTGTTCTAGAAGAACTGACCCATTCTTTACAGCTGTGTCCAAAACCATGCACAAACCCTGAAAATGAAAATACTACTTCACAAACAGGATTTGTTTTAAATTGAAAAACTACACATACAATAAACTTTATAAGCCTAAAATTTTACTAATAAATATATGAACATATATCCCCCCTCCCCAAAAAATAAAATAGAAAACATAAAAACACAACTGGAGATCAAGTAAAGATATTAATAACTGTATTCTTATAAAACTGGAGAGGATTTAAAACTTTCATTCCATATCCTAAACCACATCCACATATAACTAAAGACAGATGTATACCATTGTTTTGTGTTAAAGATCATTTATGACATGAATATTTGAAGAGAAAAATCATGTGATCCCACATTGAAAAATAAAACAGCATCTTTTTATGCACATAACTTCAAAAAGATAAGACTCCTTTTGAAATAAGAGATATGTGATTTCAAATTTGATGATGAGGAACCCACTTTGAGACTAATAATCCTTGGAAATGGCTTGAATGGGTGATGAAGAAAAACTTGTATTAAAGTTCTTCTTCATCACCCATTCAAGCTGTCTCCAAGCATTATTAGATATATGATTTATTGTCTAGTTCATCATACACAAACATGAATTGCTAACAGATATTTATGTTCTTCACCATATACAAACCTGAGTTACTGATAGCGATTCTTGGTGGCGTCTATATAAACCCAACATTCCTGGCAGAATTTTTGGTAGTTGTTCTTCCAGCTTCTCTGGGTCTAGAAGAGGGGTCATGTGTCCCAATGCTGAAACAACTTCTGATCTTACCTGGAAAATCACAATAATAATTAATGTAAACTGTAAAAAACTCAAGCATCTAACTAACAATTGCTTTCTACTCAGCATATTTATTTAAAAATGTGTTCAAATACAGCCGCACAAAATGCTGAAATCCATTTCAAATCATACTTGTTTTAATATATTAACTTCTGTTCAACTCTCTGACTATGAACAGGTACATTGCACCTACTACGTAACCACCAAATAACCATGAGATTAATCATACTAAAACTTTGATAATGTAAGCATATCTTCACAAAGTTTCACAGACTATCAGTAAACATTACAAGGCTTTTGTACAGGAAATCAGATATTTTTTTTAAGTATTTTAATTAAAGAACTGCAAGTGAATTTTTGCTTTTGGAATGTTGGCTATCCATCCTGCAAAGTGATTTTGATTTTAAGATTAAAAATACTTTTCTTCATCTGAAAATTGTAAAGTTTCATTTGCATAGTTTTTAAAACCTCCTAAATAAATAACAAACTTTTTTTTCAGATAAACTTTATATTTTCTCTATCCTAACTCTATATGTGGTTGGTCAAATTGACCGACCTCGTAACTGCCACAAAAAATTAGGAAATAAATCTAAGTAACCTTATTTTCTTTCTATAATGACTGCAAATTGTAACAGGAAACCACAATTGTTTATTGTAAATAGCTTAAAGCTTGTAACAGTATACATCTATTTATATTTATTAATTTTTTGTTTTATTGTTTGTTTGTAATTAAACACAAAGCTACACAATGGGCTATCTGTGCTCTGCCCACCACGGGCATCAGAAACCGAATTTTAGTGTTGTAAGTCCACAAACATACCGCTGTGCCACTGCAGGGCTTGTTTTATTGACTTTTGAACTGTGTCTAACTAATAATCTTGCTACACAAGTTGCAAGTCATATGGTTCACATTACCATATTGAATAACATAAAACTGGTCTACAAAGTACAAATCTTGTACTCTTCTTTGTTTCACTAATAGTGTACCAGTATTTTATAAAATAGTGACATTTTGGTTACTATGCTTTAGATATGTATATATATTATTACTACTTACAAGTAAATTCTTAAATTTCAGTTATTTTTTTGTCAAACATAGAACAACAAATAAAAATATATAGAACACAATGATCTATACTGCTTACAATGTTACAAACTTTTTTGTATTCATGCATCGTACTTGCCTCGGAAAATTTCACACATAGAGTAAGTAAAAAATTTTTTTAGAGATTTTGTATATGCATTTTGGAATATAAAATAATTATTAATTACTATACTAATACCACAAAAATCCACTGTAATTTATTAGGCTTCCTAACTAAATTGTATTTGGGTCTAAAAAAACCTCACTTCTGGTCAGAATATTGCCTTGATCATCACATTTCACACTCTCCAACAGTTATAATGGCTTTCTCATTATAAATACTTCAGAAAGACTGACAGGATTATGTAGTTAAAAATGAGTATTTTTGATTAGTTGTAAACATGCACTTAAGAGAAGTAGGCATAGATAGGCAACAGATGAAGTAGTGGGCAGGGGAAATATAAAAGGTAGGAGTTTCTTCTTCTAGCTTTTTAATTTTTAGTTTCTAATTTGTTAAAAATTGTAGACATTGTATTGTGGGTGTCATAATATCAACAAAAGTAGAAGACAATGTACCACATGACACACAAAAATCGATATTTAGCAAATTTGTTTTCAATATTTACTTTTGAATTAACAAATTAAATAATGTATAAGACTAAAATTTGAATTATAAATTACAATTTGAAGTTAAATTTATTGACATACATTAATAAAATAGCAGCTTAATAAAATTGAGTGTAAGTGGACATGACCTCTGACCCCTACCCATATGGAAAGGGTTGATAGATCACATTCTTGGCCATCACTGTGAGCATACACAGTGCGTTAGTTGCATTGACTTATGAGAAAGAAGTTTGTAAATTTGACCAACCTTGGAACAATGGAACTATATATACTCTAGCTCTGAATATACTAAGTGTATTTTCACATAATTTGGCAAGCTATCGGTGGATATTACACAAGTCTGTTGTAAACAACAGTAAGAGTAAAGTTAGTTTCATGTTAAGAATAAAAATACTTCTTTCATCTTACAGTTTTCAAATTTCAACTTCAACTTGTCATTTCAACTTACATTGATATTTTTCAGCAGTTAGTATTATGTAGAGAAAATATAGGGATTTGATATTCATTTAGGAAGTTTTAGTGGATATTCAAAATATTTTATAAATTAACAATACTATTTTTTACTCTGCAGTGACTTCATTTTTTTTAATCAGAATATTCCAAATTACTTATCTTTACACTTTAAATTACAGGTATCCCTTGATTTATGAGCATTCGATTATGTTTTTTTGCTATAACATAATTAATTTTTATTTTCGTGCACACATTTTTGCTATAACAAAAACTTATGTAAAAGTTGTAAGAAAATGCTGCTCGTTTAGAAAATGTTTTCACTATTACAAAATTCAAGTAGCTAAAATGCTGTTTTAATATGTTATAATATTGAAATACCTTTAGATACTATGCTATTTTTCACTACTACCTAATTCAAACAGCAATCTAATTTTTCATGGCAGCATTAAAGATTTAAAAAATATATAAATAATAAACAACAGTATTTTTTTCTTTTTATATATTGAAAATGGTTTAACTCTTTTGTAGGTGTATATTTGGTCCTATTATAGTTTAAACATGAATGCTTCCTTGCACAGTACATACTGTGCTATTTATGCAACGAACTACCACCTGGTAGTAGCATGTAAAATTGTCAAAATGTTTTAGATTTTATTACTAAGTCTTATTTTTACCATTTTAAAAATGTTTTCATCCTTTTAACTTCATGCAAGTTGGAACACAATTGAAAATTAATCACAGTTACAACCAGAATAAAAAGACGAACCTTTAATTCTCTGGCATGTAGCCAAACACTGAACAAGACATCATACGCATTACCAATTTCACTGGCAAAAACTTCTTTCCTTACACTTTTGTCTGGAGCTTTTTCCAAGTTCGCCAGATATTCCAGAATAGCTTCAGAAAACCTTGCTAGTGCTGGTATTAAGTTATAATAAATAATGAAGGAATATATTCTCAAATAACATCACAAAAAACACACATTTCTGGACATTACACATAACTCCAATCCCAGGACAATGCCAAACACAGTGGTTTCAAATTCATCGAATGTAGAGTATGAATATAAGAGGTCATAGAATGTTATAAAATGAAACTATTTATTTATTAAACACATTATAATGAACATCAAAAAAAAGGAGGGGGATTTACATTACTTGTGCCACTCACAGGAAAATATACACAACAGTAAGGCTTAAAATAATTTTGTTCTGGTTTCCCAACTAAAATCATAGAGTAGGAAAGTAGGATCTTTTGAAGCCAAACCTTTTTTATATTGAAGTGTAAAATTATATTTTGTCCTGTAACAGAACATAACTACTGTAAAAAATGTAAGGGTTAGCAGCAAGAAAAATTTGGATGGTCAAGAAAACAGAACAACAAATATTTTAGCAAAAATTTACAATAATCAACAAAACAACTATATATTTGAATATATCCAGCTAAAAGTAAAAGACAGCATTCAACATTAATAGAAATGCATATTTGTACAGTAGCACTTTACAAAATGGGTACTACTGTGATATATAGGCATCATACCATTAATTTTCTACCTTCTCATTTTAACATAGAAGTTTTCAGTTTTTCACTTATTTTTATGTTTATGCAGTTTTTGCATAACATGTGGCCAAGAAAGTCATTACGTTGATTTTGTTCTAGCCACTTTTGTTCTTTGTCATTCCCTGAAAGATAAGACCTGGCCTGCCCATAGGATGTATGGCTGTAAAGCTACATCTCTTGTGCAAGAAGGTCGATAGCAGTATCCTCCAAAGGTAAGTTAGGTGATATCTCATGTGGGTATTGCTGGTTGCTCTGAGTAAATCTGATGTTCTCGAATGAACTAAATAGCATGAGATATAGACAGTCAGAAATATCATTTTGAGTGAATCAGTCGGCCCAAAATAAATCTTGAGGAGTAGAACCAGCCCGATCAATTCACAAGTCCAGTAAAGGCAACTATCCCGTGTCAAATGCAAGTACACAGTGTTTGTGAAATTAATAATCATTGTTTTCATTGTGTATCATTGTGCAATACTAATTTACTTCTACAACCTACATCTTTCATTTACTTTAACTGCTTGTCAACGTCTGATTTTCAGTCATCAAATATGAAGTGCAAGGATTAATAAATTAATTGTCCAAAAATGTGCAGAGCATGATTATTAAATGATTAAACTTCTAGAATAGGGGTTCCCAAATTTTCTCAACTAAGAAAAGGGTTACTCTTCTAATATGTTATAGTAAAATCTAGTAATGCTCTTATAGTTTGTGGTTTTTCTTCAAAAACATTTTATGATTATTATTTTATAAATAATTTCAAATTAAAAATATATGTTTTAATGTTTCTTATTCTGCAACCCACAGTTTGAGACCAGTCATTTTCAATATGAGGATTTTGCTGATGGCATGAAAGGTGATTATATACCTATCTTATTTTTTGCATAATGGTAACATAAATGCCACTAATTCATAGGAGTAATTCTGCAATTTAAATATTTCTTATAATGATCAACAGGGCATTTTTGGTTAAACCAAGTAATACACAGTCTGAAAACCACAGTTCTAGGCAGTAATTACTTTTAGTAAATACAGATTTTTTTCACCTAAAATTCCTAAGAAACATTCTGAAAATTAAGAGCATTGGGCCACTTGTATAATAATTAGCTGAATTATTCTAATAATACTTTAAAGAGGCTTTACTATGCAACATTTTATAGATGTGTAAAACTTACCATAAGAGAAGACCCACTTCATGTTCTCATGTTTAATCATCCCTAGCATTGGTAACATAATTCCAAGTATTGCTTTCAGGAAAGGCACTATACCAAAAGCTGGAATATAAACATATAAGATGCATGATGCATATAAGTACTTCATTATTTATCAATTTATGTCCAAACTTTACATCATCCTGTATTATAATTTCTTGTCAGTCATCCAATGATACACTAGAAAATAACATAGAACACCAGCTAAGATTTTTATCATATTGGATATCTTTGATTTCAGGTGTGCTTTGTGCACATCTTTTCTTTACTCTTCTTCCAAAAAATAAATTATCATAAATAAATATCAGAAAATTAATAAGAAAAAAACTGGAAAAACAATACTACTTTGTTTTGTCACCTACCATTTGATGTGGCTAGATTTGCCATGGTCTGTACTACAAAAAAATGAGGGAGTATAGCAGGTTGGAATTCAACTAACAGCATATCCATAACTTTGTTGTGAAACCTGCAGCCAAGTGAAACAAGAATTCCACTAGCAGCTGCCTGCCATTCAGGGACTACTTCCTGTAATAAAATAATGTGTCACAGAGCAGCATAGTTTACTAATAAAAGTAATGGAAATGTTTCTTCATTGAACATGTCATGGGTAAACAAATAAAATTTATGAACCCTTATCTGAGTAACAAAAAAATTAAAGTCATGCATCTGCACAACAAAACAACAGATATCAGAATCATTAGTTTATATCACTTAACAACATAACACAAATATTAATATAATGAGATCACCCTGAAACATGTACATATGAATGCTATGTACAAAGCATCACTTGGCAATACCCAGACAAATCTTAATGTTATGGACTATACTATTAAGCAAGAAACACGTGTAAAGTAACATTTACTTTGTTACCCAACAACCAAAAATGATAGTGCCATGTACAATACTAAAAGTCTTGGATTTGCAAACTTAGAAACATACAAGTGTCATAGACCTGCATCATTAAGTAAAAAAGAACAAATACGAATAACAAGGGCTTACACCATCTAAAAGCAGTGAACAAATAACACACACAATGTTATTATATCACCTAGCAACATACAACACATCTAATACATGCAATGGGATTATATCACCTTGAAATATACAACAAATCTAACACACATAATGAAATTATATCACCTAGCAACATACAACAAATCTAACACACATAATGGAATTATATCACCTAGCAACATACAACAAATCTAACACATGTAATAAGATTATATCATGTAGCAACATATAACAAATTTAAAGCCATATATTCAAAACATCAAGAAATAAACAAATGTAAATACCATAACAAAGATTATGTAAAAACAGATCATATAATGAATAATTTATCTTTAAAAGAATTTGAAAATTGTGTCCCCAATATCTTATACTGCTACACATATTTACCTAAACTACATAATTTGCATCATACTTTGTGTTGTGGCACTCTTAACTATTAAATAACAAAACAGGCTAGTTTTTCGTAACAATTTATTTCAAATCACAACTTTTCTCATCTTTACACTTTACATCTAAGTGTATTTAATATTTCTGAAAAATTACAATTAACTTTGTTTCAATTTTCTTATGCTGAATTCTGTACACAATTGAAAACATGAAACAAATTACATTAGATTCAGTGAGGTTGTACATCAACTCCCTAAAAATTAAAATAAATTCTTTCTAGCCAATAAATTTACTCAAAAAGTAAATCTTGTGACATGTATAAACTCAAAATATTCTAGGTACTAGGTTTGTAGAGCTAAGTCTGAATTGTAAAACTTGTGATCTCAAAACTTTGACTTTCTAATGCTGCATTTTAGTATGGTGTTTATGTTATGTAAACACATTTTGCAATTTGAAGAACAGTTCAGAAATTGTGCTCTGAAAGTATATGCCTTCTCTACCAGATCACATTTATACAGAACACAAATAATTTTATTTTATAAAACATTTTCAGTTAATCACTAAAAATAATAAGATTTGCTACATTTCCACTTACATTATATTAGATCACTATTTCAGCCTAAGTAAAAAATGCATATCATACCTTAGTATTGACCATTTCCTTCACTGCTTGTCTGATAATGTCTGATGCCAAATCCTCATTTACTCTATGTAAAGAATCTCGACAAACACGTTCCATAACATTTAATGTGATAACTCGATGGTTCAAGGGAAGCTAGATTTAAAAACAAAAAATATGTATCTCATCTTGTTGTCTTTTAGGAAATTATTTATTTTCCTTGTCCTGATTAGTAGCCTATACCTATGTCTAATTAGTAACTAGATACTAATTACTAACTAGTTTTTATTCTATATTTCAGTTGTTAATCTCCTGCCATCTTCAGTCCTGAGAAAGACTATTTTAATGTTTGTAATAACTGGGATTTGATCCTGGGGTCTTCTTGATGGAAGTCTAGTGTATTATCCATTTAACTGAAGTCTTCTCCATTAGGACTTGAACCAACTACTTCAATGTTTTCAAGAGGGTTATCCAGGTTTGCTAATTTTTATGCTACATTGATTGATTGTGTTATCAGTCAGGTGGATGAAGAGGATCTTCTCAACTTTCTTTTTTTTTCTCATGTGTGCTTCATAACCTATTATTTCTGCTATTCCAATTTATTGTATGCTCTTCTTCTCTAGTATAATAAGCTATTTTAGACAGATCAATATTACAGAGTATTGTATGTCTATAATGCTGCTGAATTCTAATTTTTTTGGTCTTTAGTTGATGGAGGATGCACCAAACTATAAATCTCTACAATAATAGAACTCACAACTTTCTTCCAACTAAAAACACCATAAAACAGCCACTCTAACCACAAGACTTAGCTCAGATATGTTGATGGTAAACTCATAATATAGTCACATACTACAGACAAAATTCAGGATTAATGAACATCTGTAAAGACAATATCCCACGATACATTTCACAATGGAAATAGAAAAAGACAAACTCCAATTCCTTAACATGATAGTTACAAAGACACAACTTTTTTATAACTCACAGATATTGGTTAATACCTTGACTAACCACCTCTACAATGTAAAGACAAGTGCCATAGACTGTCTACTTTAAAAAATAAATGAGATTTCTAATACCAAAGAGGCTAAGAAGACGGAATTAAAACACATCACAAAAACTATCCTTAACAATGGATACCCAGAACACTGGATAAAGAAGAAAATAAAAAATGATAAATACAGAAAATATACAGCAACAAAATAACACACTCAAATAGCCATATTCATTTATATCAGAGGTCTCTCAGAAAACATAAAGGATATGTAAATCACATTATTCAGAAGCCACAATACATTAAAATTGCAGTTAGTAAACACACACACACTACCTAAACACCAAATGGAGAGAAAAACACCATTTACAACATCCCTTATGAATGTAAATTCAATACATTGTAAAAAAAATAATTATAACTGAGTAGCATGATATAAATACTTATATAACTGAAATAGCCCATCATGCCAGAGAATACCAAACTATAATTAGAATACTAAAATAATAAGATATGAACCACACAAACACAAAAAAGAAAGATAAAAAAGAACTCTTTTACATCCATCTAATTGATACCGTACTCAGTTAACATAGCATAGAAGTCAACAAAACCTAGATAACCATCTTGAAAACAATCAAATAGATAGTTGATTCAAGTTCTAATGGAGGAGACCCCCTCCCTTTTCGAGTGGATAACACTCAAGATTTACATGGTTGATATCCAATCTCCACAACCTGACCATAAGTTTTTAGTTCCTTCTTTAAAATAAAACAGTAGCTGTAATTACTGAAATTTGATGCCCAATTAAAAAACAACTAATAGGATGGAAATATAATAAACACACACCAGCAACGATAATAATACAAATAAACAAAATGTAATTAAATAAAAATACAACACAAAAACATGTTTGAAAATGTTCATATACAATTTAGCTTAAGTTTCAAAGTTACAGCTGGCACCTGTTAGTACCCTTAATATTGAAGATAATTATTCTGCTTAACCAAAAACAAGCAGAAATTAATATTTACTGGATCTAATTTCAAGAACAACGGCTATTTTATCTTTTTATATTATCTTTGCTTCTGTTTACTTTTATAGTACAGTTTATCGATTACTATATTATCGTTTATACTATCTTAGCTTCTGTTTTAAGAGAAAAAAATTTTATGAAAGAAATACTGTTCTCAAAAATGCAGAACATGTGAAAATGGAAGTAAATACAGTATTCTAAAGGGATAAACTAAAAGTATGCATGTTTAATAATTGAGGAAACTGAATTTAATACAATATTCTACAGTGATAAGCTAAAATTACAAGTGTTCTATAATAGAGAAAACTGAAGTTAATACAATATTCTACATATTCTAAAGTGATAAGCTAATAGTACACGTTCAATAACTTAACATCTTATTTACAAAGATCTTCTGGTTGATGTGAATTTTATACAAATTATAAAACTTGTGAATACAGTGATATAAATTTGCAATAAACAGCATCAATGCATTTTGAGTAATTGTTTTTATGCTTATTGTTTATGCAAAAACAACTGATCATAATTTTTAGTCTTTCAATCAATATGTACAAATTGTTTAAATATTTGTCAAAATGAGAATTCTAAATTGAAACAAAACCATGTCTTTTAATCAAGATCCTTTCCTTCACCTTGGTGTGTTGTTGCAGGTAAGAGAGACAGCTACTTAACACCAGATCTGGCTGATGATTTCCAATAGTATAGAGTGAAGTACACATTGCTTGGCTTACATGTGCTTGTTTGTCAAAAGCAGCATCAATCAGAGCTAAGACAATTGCTATAGAGAGAATAACTCATGGTCAAATACACATTACTTCTGAGATTCTTCTATGTGCATGTTCTTTTAAGTTCTAAGTAGGCAGGTTTCAAATACAAAAAACAATGACTGTTCTTCACATAGCTTACTTTTATTTGCAAACAAGTAATAAGCTTACAAAGAAAACTGAATTTTTTTATAAAATGTGTAATTCCATAATTTTTTTATGAACCTTAAATTTAGAATTGTTGATAACCACATTATAACAGCCAAATATTAACACAAAGTCAAGTAATTACAGTTAAATTTCCAAAACATTTTCACACAATTCATAAAAATAATATATATATGATTTTACAATTAGAAAAAGTGAATTTTAAATTAGATCATAGTCCATAAACTACAACACCACATATACACAGAGTAAAGATATAAAAACAACTGTCCACCATCTACGTGTTACTCAACAATTCAGCCAAAAGTAACTGTTTTTGATGTATGAAAGCCATTGAAACCATTATCCAAATGGAGCTCTGCAGGACTTACTAATATAGTATGTACCTAGTACGAGTTCATCTATTTTTTATTTTAACCCTAGCTGGCATACCCATCAATTGGACAGGTGAAATAAAAACCTGTTTGTAACAAAGGATAGGAAATTGTGCTTCTATTTTTGTTCTTAAGATAATAAACATTAAAAGTGCAATAAAAATACATAAAATACGTGTCAAGTTGGGTGCTGAATGATCAAGAAATGTGGAAATGTATAAGGAACAGATACACACACACATATTTACTTTCATTTATATGGGGGGGGGGGTCCAACTCCCACACCTTTCATGACCTTCCTGATGTCAACCTATATTGTGTGCATTCTTTTTGTTTATAATAATTCAATGCAAATTCAAGACAAGATTGGATTACATAATTTTTATAATTGGACCTTTCTAATAGTTACCTTGATAATAACTGAATTATTTAGGCATAATATTTTCAACTTACAATCAACTTGTCCTCCAGTTGTTCGAACTTTATCCTCTGCTGAACTTGGCAACATCTTCAATATTTCGTTTTCTTACAGAGAAACTTGATATTTAAATCTGGTGGCAAAAATATAATTTGTATGATACACAAAATTCAAAAAATTACCTAACTTTTGTATCATTAAGCTTTAAAAAGAGCAATAGAAACTGTGAAGAACTGAGTTTGCATAAAGTTTGATAAATCTATCTCAAAATGATTGATTGATAGTTAAGATATTTTTTTAAAGAAAACAGAGGTCTTAGAATTTTATATTCAAGCCAACTGTTTGAGTCAGAGTATTGTTACAAGTCAATTATTATTAAAAATTTAACACAAGTTCAGAAACTTATAAAGATTCACATTCCGAACTTGTAACTCAAAGAGATCTAATTTTATCTCATTTTAAAGTTTATATAATTCTACACAATATGGTTTTTCTTTTAGGTGCATCAAAACAACATTTGCCTTCACAAAAAAGTAAAAGCACCTTTAAGAAGTTACAGCAGAATGCCAATTTATTTAAATATTTTTGTTTGCAACATCTATTGTGTTTGTAGCTGTTGCACTGCAAATTGAGATGCTAGATTTTTGAGCTTATAAATAATGTTCTTACTCTGGAGTGAAGGTGTAATAAAGAGGTGAATTTATTTGTTCACTGTTGTTTTCCACCTTTTAAAATGAGTATTGTTTAAAATGTAAGCCAATTTTTCATATTATAAAGAAATTGATATAAATTTTTCAAATTAAATATACTGTTAATTTTCAAAATGATATAAATAAAAATTGTATTAAGCAGTAAATTTTATACATAACATATAAATATGTATAAACAAGTTGGATATGTAATATTCAGTAGAGGAAAGGTTGATTATATACACCACGCTTTGTCTCTATTGATTTTAGCATATTTTTTCTTGATGAGGGTAAATTCCATGTATTTTGATTCTTTGATAATTTTGCTATTGAAAGAACAAGCTTTACTCACTATTGGAGAATCATGTTTATTTAAATAACATTCAGCTGGAGAACTTTCTGTTGGCTACCATTTACTTAGGGAATTAATGTATTCACTGATATGGTTATATGGGGATTGTTCTGCTTCAGTTATTTATGTACCTCTTGCAAGTTTTAAATCACAGATCATGTTTTAGGCCATACATGTTTCTCCAGCTCTATTGTCTCTTGCAAACACATTTTTGAGAGTAATAACAGAGTAGACTAGCTTTCTTTGAAGGTCTTTCCTGGTGTACATACTAATCTGATGGGGAAAACATTCAACTGGTAATCTTACTTTTACAGTTATCATGTTGATTTGATACTATTGGTGCATAGTGTTATTGTTCTGTTTTTGTGTTGAAAATGGACTTTATTTATAAAGTTTAGTGTATTTATTCTGTAGGAATACATACTAAATGCTTCTGATGCAGCTGTCTATTCCTTTGAGTTTTCCAGTTATATCTCCTGTTTTTGGATAATGATAATCATAGTGCAGAAAGTTTTTTGGAGGTTTGCTGTAAGAGGTGTTGTTGTTATCTTATTCACATGTTTAAATCTAAAAAAGCTAAGCTGTAATCTTATCCCTAATGTTCTAGGTAAACTTGATGTAGGATTGAAATTATTTTAAAAAAAGGCTTAAAAACTTATAAAACTACAAACTTTTTAACATAACTTCTATCAAACATTAAGTTCACCTGAAAACGTACATCCTCATACAGATTATTAAGAAATGTATGTTATCAACATAGTTTTCTTGCATTCTCAAAATTTATGTTGTAACACTGATAATCAATAATTAATTTGAAAAATGTCCAAAAGTTTATACTTTCCAATTAAAGACTTGATGTCATACATATTAATATAGTGAAAACCCAGTTACAGAAATAAAGGTCAAAATAAATATAGGTTTTTATAACTAAGACCTCAAAATTTATAGATAATTCATAAGAAACTTTGAAACTTGAATACAGAATAAAAGACTTACGGTGACAGAAGCTCAATCAATCCAACATCACACCTTCTATCTGAAAGATCATCAACCTGAAACAAAAATCAAGAAAGCTATTCTTAAGAACATGCAGGATAAAAAGTGAGATGAGAGGCGATTTGGATCAACATACAAAACAAAATCTAATGGAAATTTTCAAAAACATTTTAAAATAATTGAAACTGTACAAAGTGTATAACTTAAGTGCACAGAATTCTTTCAGAAGACAAGTCTATATCTAACTTTAGCTAAAATGTATTATCCTTAGGATTAAATAAGAATAGTAAAATACAGAATTTGGTTCTCTGAGTTTCTATTCTTACAATATCTGCAAAAACAGAATAATTCAGGATATCTTAACATAAACGAATACATTAAATGCATTACGTTTTATCATGGATTTTATTGATGTTTTTCTTTTTAATATACAGTTGTTAAAAAATTCTTCAAAATCTATTTTCCTGTTAAAGAATATCTGCTTTTGGAGAAGTTCTTGGGAGTGAAATTCCCATCTTTAATGTTAATTACCCTAAAACTACAAGGAAACTAAACTGGTTTGGGTTCGACTTATTATTAAAAGTTGCTTACTACAGGAGAAATTCCTGATAATTAATAGACTGCTAACATAATTTATATTGTTAAAATGAAGGGGACAAAAGAGACCATAGAAAATTAATGGCTCATTGATTACTGTTTCTAGAAACATGTATAAATTGGTTATCAGAGATAATCTGAAAGCTGCAGGTAAAAGGAGAAACTAAACACAGGTTTACTCAAATCATCAACATCTTTTTGACAATTTAACATTTTCCTTAGAATTTGTTACAATGCCAAGAATTCACTATGTTAATAAATTAAACTAACAATTAGTTACATGTAACTGGAGATGTGGGGTACATCATAGCTGCATTACTAATAATTTGTCTTATCATTATTAGTTTAATAATGAAGTTTGCTGTTTTTTTTAATCAGGAAACTGTAAAATAACTTAAATTTAGTTAAATATACAATTATTTGGGGGGGAGACTGAAAATAAAAACTAGTAATGTTCAATATGGTTACATGGGGGTCAGTGAAATGGAATTGATAGTGTGCAATAATTGCTGAAATGTATATTTGAAATCTGTGTTCAATTTTGTGCAAAGCTACATGAGGACTATCTGTGCTAACCATCTCTAATTTAGCAGTGATAGACTAGAGGGAAGGCAGCCAGTCAACACCACCTACTGCCAACACTTGAGTGATTCCTTTACCAATGGATAGTAAGATTTGACCATCACATTGTAACACCCCACAGCTGAAATGGCAACCATGTTAAATGATGTGAATTTGAACCAACAGTCTGCAAGATGCGAGTCAAGCACCCTAAATACCAGGCTGTGCCAGGCCGCAACTTTCACTAATAATCTAAATCTTTTGTAAAGCAC